TATGCAGGGCCACGGTTGCCCTACCTGCCTCCCGGTGGTGATCGCTCACAGCGGCTGTTGTTACACACACAGCACACCCACGGGTGATGTAATTGGATTCCACGGGTCCCCATTTTACAGTCCATTGCCATGTAATGAAATCAGTTATTTACTTTCATCATAAAATCTGATAAGGGACAACATCTGCCGGGGTAAAGTTTGAGTGAGTACTGCACATGAATGTTGATGTGTGGTCTGCAACGTCCTGATCTGCAGCACTGTGAGCTGTTGCTGTGTGCACTCGAATCAACACTTGGTTGTAAACTTGTCATCCCACTCAACACGTGAAAGCCGATACGACAATTTATATTGTGTTTAACTTTCGTAGCATTACTCACATAGAAGCAACAGCAAGGGCAATCACTGCTTCCCCACACTGTGGAGAGGAGTGTGCAGCAAAGTGTCTTGTTTCTGAGTCCCTGCTCTGCTCTGTCTGCTCTGCCTGCTGTCTCATTATACTGCTGCTGTGCTGCTGGAGGACACTGAAGGACACAAGCGATTGAATTCAAGTGTTGTATATTCCCTGGAAACCAATCAAGAAAAGCCCCAGAATAATAATCCCTGTCCGCTGTCATGATTCATTTTTATTTTGTTCCATATTTTTCTCTGGCTTTTGAGTCACTCAGAAAGAGTAGTTCCAGCATAAAATCAATGTTCCATTAAAATTTAATGACCAGGAAGGGCTTAATAGTGGTGGAACAGATGCCTCTGCTTTTGATAACGCCGACATCTCAGGAACTCTTATTCAAAGCTACATTGGTGTTGTCAGGTCCTCTGACCGTTCCTGTTCTTAGCGGCTGTGAAAGAAGACGGATGCTGGCATTCCTGTGCCTCAGAGCGGTGAAATTAAAAGTTAGTAAATTGACAGTAAAGCTCATAAAACCCCTCAAACATTGACAGAGGAGGCTACAGCTGATGGCACATTACCGTCAATTACTCACTGTGTTAATGTTGACTAAAGGCTAATTCCAAACAGATACCAGACTCACCGTTTTCAAAGTGTGCTCAGATACATATTGCAAAGAAAATGTGTAGGATGGAATGAGTAGGTTGACCAGTCAGTGTGTAAGCTTTCTTAGTGCTAGAAATAAAAAAAATAAACCTTCCTCATTTAGTAAAAGAAAAAAATTAAAAAGAAAAAAGAGTGGACTTGCAGGTTCCTTGTGCTATTGTTTTTATTAACGTTATCATTGCTATTGTTGTCATCATTATTAATTGTAGCAGAACAAGATAAATCAAAACACCCCTCAGCAATCATGGCTTTTCTTCATACTCAGCTGGAACAGAGAGAGAGAGAAAGATAAAGAGAGAGAAAGAGAGAGAATGAGAAAGAAAGTGGAAAATCTTAATCAGTTTTTTTTTTTTTTTTTTTTTTCTTTGAGGACCATATGGAAGGTTTCAAGCAGCCAACCATATGTTGAAGGCTTTTGTCATGGAAATCATACTTTTTGGCACTTTTTCATTGCGCAGCCAAGCCGGGCACATAAATAAAAGAAAACAAGAACAGAAAAATCATACAGAACATGATCAAATCTTTGAGAATACACAGAGTTTGAAGTTTTTGTTTGTAACTTACAACAGATAGCTTTTTAATCAAGACACTCCCTGATTCACATGGCCACCCAGACTGCAATTGGTACCTGTATTTGTCTTTTTGTTTTTTTTTTTAAATAAAAAAAAGACAACATGAATAGAAAAAGAGCAATTAAATGTCTACATGCATTGTCATATTATTGCTGTGATATATTTACAAATATATTTACAAAATTATCAAAGAGGAACAATGTTTCCCTACATCTAAATTCAGTAGTTTGGAATCAAATTGTGCCTCCTTCTCTGTAATTAGTATTTTCTCTGAGGATGATCTGTAATACTGCCAGTTTTAGACACAAGCCTACAGGTACAGTGCATTTCCAATTGATGTTTTTAACGATCTCAGTGCTTTTATCTGCCTTATTAAAACACAATCTCCAGGATTTGGAGATACATTATACACAGCTCCCACAGTAAAATATAAAAACATATAAAAGAATCTATTGGAAGTAATGATTTCGGCATTAGTTCGATAATACAGCAACGTGCCAAACTGTGTGTTCTGCAAGTTAATCAGGAGACAGGTGGTTTGGATGCTCTCATGCAGTGATTCAGCTGTAGCACTTAGGCGACCATTGACAGGATGATGGTGAAACAGGGAGGAGACGACGGACAAACAGAGCAGAAGCTCCTCATTGCTGTCTTTTCTCCTCAGCTTTGTGTTTTTTTTTTTTGTTTTGTTTTTTAGGGCGAGCTCAGCATTACTGCGATCGTGTCATCCATTTGGAATATGCAAATAGCTGACAGTGCATTTGCCTGCTGGTGCTTGACCTTCCCCTTGGAGGTCGCTCACCGACTCAATTACGCTCCCTATCTGCAGTCTGTCTGCAAACACCTGTTATCCTCCCACACTCCGCCACCCTCCGCCAATCCCACTTCAGCACATCTCATCCTCGCTGCGTCTGTTTAGAGGCAGTTGGGACAGGATGAGGACGGCTGGTGGGGAAGGGAGGGACGCGGGAGAAATGATGTGGGAGTTGGAAGTGCGTTACAGCGCGTCGTTTTATTACAACAATTTCAAAAAACTTTCTCTACCAAGGCGGCGGTCGACGTCAAGATTATTTCTGTCAGCGCTGGCTAAGACATACATGCAGCCATCCTTATGTTATCTCAGAGGGATTCTTGCCTTTGACACCTCAGAGTTGTTTGAGATCGATAGTGAATTTAGCTATATTACACGCTTTATTATGCTAGTGATCTTAATGAGAATTATTCTAATCCTGTTGTGTAATACGTAACCTCAAAATCATACCTGCACTTCAGCTGCCAGAAGAATTTTTTCTTACCTGGTTGCTCTTTAAAAATAAAGATAGTATTATTGTGGAATAGCCTTTTCCAGGCAAATTAACACTTGTCGCATTTTGAACTTATTGTAGAAAAGATTTAGTGTTTCTTTTATTTACTTTATCACCATCATTATTGCTTTTGCACATTTGCAACCTTGGTGTAAAGTCGATTACACCTGCATTTTTCCACCATTGATGTTTACAGTTTTACATTTTCTGGGCGACATCTACATCCACATCAACGTCGGTTATTTCTGAGATTTACTTATTGCCTGAGATTTAAAGACAAAAAGGGCCAAAAATCTCCAGTCATTAGGAGGCAACGGACTTTTTGGAAACAGCAAGATAAAGAGTATTTTAGTGTTTTGCTTTCATTGTTTCTTTTTATTGCCCTAAGTTGACTGAAAACAGGACAGCTGTGATTGTTATACATGTCAATTGCTGTGTCAGTAAAGTTATTGCCACGAAAACAAAAATAATTCTGCATTCATTCGTTGGAAGTTTTCTAACACTGGTAATGTACATTGTTCCTCTTTAAAAAACTAAGTCCCATGGACTCTCTACAGTTTTCATGCATATAAACATTTTCTTTGAAGATCAGCAGCATCTTACAAGGTCAATGGATGTTCATTTTTTAAATTATAAACAAATAAATACATGATAAATAAGCGAGTCTTCAATAAATACATGAAAATAAGATAAATAAATAAATAAATAGATAAATAGGTAGATAAATAAAGTATTTACATGATAAATAGATGGTATGCATCTAAAACCGTGGGCGGAGCTTTTAGCGACATATAAAAACAGACGAACAGAATAATTTGCCTGTCACTTTGTAACTGAGGGTGTGTGAGTCCATACCTTCACTCTGAGGTAACACTGGCGGAAGGGGAGCACCTCAAACACTGGATGAAGATTGCTCTTTAAGACCGGACGATTCACCATAAAGGCAGCAGAGTTTATGCAAGCCACCATGGTGGAGGAAGAACAACGAGAGTTTTCATTGCTATAGACAAGTCAACCGCACATGGCACTTATAACGATAGATCATTTGGTCTGGCTCTCAGTGTTTTTGTCCAAGTCTGTACATCAGGGTGAGACTATGAATTTGATCAGACAGAGTGTGTGATAACCTGTTCAACAGGCCAACATTTTAAAATCACTGCTCTTGCAGAATTGAATTGGATGACCTATGATCTTGTATAGCTTATTCAAATGAGCGTGTTTTGAGTACCCACAGTTACAAAGATGCTTTTGATCAACAAGGGATAATAAGCACAAAAAAATAAATTTAGAAAAATCAAATAGAAAAATAACATCCGTTGAATTGAAACATTGGTGTGGAAAAAGGGGTTCGTCTTTTTAACCTTTTAAAATGATCTCCCTTTTTTGCAAATACTGTCATAGTTCACATTTTCATAAAAAGTTCATGTTGGCAGTTGCAAAAGAATTCAATTCTTAGCAAATAAAAAGCAGCATAAAAATACAAGAGGTCATTTTGTCTCTAAAAAACAAAAGAACACTGTTAGTCCTTTTTTATGTTTTTTTTTTTCTTTTTCTCATTACTATTTCCTATAAAATATCAGGAATCTAAATATTATTACTATTGATATCAATATCATTATAGTCATTGATAAAAATTCACATGCCAGGCCTCATATTTAATTGTGTAAGTGTGTTTGTGTGTGTGTGTGTTTGTGTGTGCACACATGCGTACGTCTGTGTTTGTGTGTGTATTTGCACGCATGTCTGTGTGTTTGTACGTGTGTGTTTACATGTTCCCGCATCCGTGCGAGCACATGTTGCTGAACTGTGTACAACTATTATCATCTACAGTCTCTATTTGGGGGAAGGTTGTTTGATTGTATGTTTCTGTGGACGATTAGCTACTGTGCAGGGAAAAAATCCAGCATCTTTTGAAATTGTCTTTGCCATAATCATTAGAGTTTCTTCACGTAATCTCAGTGAAAATATTGCTTTCTAAAAAAAGGGAAGAAAAAAGGCATGGAGGGCAGAGTGAACAGGGTTATTGGTTGTGAACCTACAACAGGGGTTCAGAATTTTGCTTCTTCCTCGTGGTTAGTTTTCTGATCCAGAGTCGTCTTCGTCTGCGGAGCCCTTGAAGCAAGCTGACTCATAGTGCTTGTTCAGGTAGGACTTGAGAGCGAAGGTCTTATTGCAGCGCTTGCATCTGTAGTGCTTGAAGGCAGAGTGTGTTTGCATGTGGGCGCGGAGGTTTGAACGGTCAGCAAAGGCTTTGCCACAGTGGGCGCAGGCAAAGGGCTTCTCCCCCGTGTGTGAACGCATGTGACCTTGAAGCAGCCACGGCCGGCTGAAGGCCTTGCTGCACACGTCGCACTTGTGCTTGAGGTCGTGGGTGAGGATGTGCATGGCCAGTGCCGGCATGGACACGTACACTTTATTACAGGTGGGACACTTGCGGGCCATCTTGCTGTCCAGGCTGCGGTGCGTCTGCTTGTGTCTGCTGAGGTTGGAGGAGGTGGCGTACGTCTTGCCGCACTCGTTGCAGGTGTGGCGAGGCGTGCCGGCTCCTCTCTCCTGAGCCCCAGCATTGGCACTGCTGCTTCTGGAGCCTCCTCCACGACTCTCCCCGTCTCCCTTCCGCCTCGAGCGCCCGTCAGAGATGAAGAAGGCATCCATGGTGTAACCCTCGGCCAGGGCCTCCGATTCACCAGTGTAGAAGCCGCTGGCTGTCATGCCAGACTGGGGGCTGTCAGGGTGCTTCAGGTCGGGGTCACAGTACTCCCCTCCGCTGCTCACCTGGGTGTACAGGGGGTCTGACACTGGCGAAGCCAGCTTGTGCTCCATCTTCTTCTCCCCCTGGTATACAGATGGTGTGATGTAATCCTGGATGTATCCTGGGTAAGAGACACACGCAAACACAGTTGGCCAGGGGTTGTGATGGATAAGGACACAGTGACATGCTGGTGATTACATGATTATAATGTTGGATGATTGCCCTTTGTAAAATGGTGAACGAGTGAGTGGCAGCACAGAGCTAATTGCATTTTTTCCAGATCTCACAGGTTCTACACATAGTAGTTCAGTGATGCAGGGAAACATGAAGTGCTCAGCTGCCTTTAGGAAGATTGCAATTTTTTACAATGAGGATGAGTGCTGGATAATAGCTCATCAAAGAGGTCTCCTGTATAGGAAGATGCATATTAAAGCCTATGTTAAATAAAGTAGGTTCATTGATTAGACTTCCTTTCTCCGTAAGTGCTAGCATTAAAAGTCAAACGCAAAGAATCATGTTTCAACTAAAAGTCTGAACAAAAAACGTATTTCTTCTCCTTTGCTGCAAACAAATACAATTTTTGGTTTTGAACCAGAATACATAGCTGCCTACATCCCGCTGGATTTTATGCTACTTCTTCAAGCAGGTTTAAACATGATGCAGCAAAGCACAAAGCACCACGAGTGATTTAAATGTCCCCAACTGTACAGAGCATGATTTCAGAGAGATATATTTTTGTTGGCATCATTCATGTCTTTCCTTTCCCTCCGAAGCAGCTCAGTGCCAGAGGAGCTAAAAGGCTTGCTGGCAGCTAAATGCATCCAAACAGAACTTGATATATTCTTATGCTGTGAATGTCTGGAGTTGAATACATAGTAAATGCATTTTCCCTCCAGGGTTGATATTCTATAGGTTAAACATATGAGTGCAAACATAAAATGTGGTGAAATTCCTTTCCTGAGACAAATAGTGCATAACTGCAGAAAAAGCCATTCCTAAGCACTGTGTGCAGCAAGCAGTGGAAATTAGGTATTGACTGCTTTTTAATGAAATTCAAAGTTTTGAACTGATCAATAGGCTATCATCTGTAAAATAGTGCAGCTGTTAGAACCGTCGAGTGCTGCACAAGATAGAAATAATGCGAGGAACAGATCAAGTATCAGCGACACACAATAATAGTTTATTGAGCACAGTGTGCTTGAGGACTGATAATGTGAGAAATGGCATCATGCACATTGTTTGTGAAGAGGGTCACCTGTCTACAGCAGCGAGCACACTGAAGTGCCTTCAAGAAACAAGCCATTAAGAAATCAGTTGAAGTGCTCTCTTACTACAGCGTCTCCATTCCCAAGGGTTTCAGTTCACACACCCACTTTGTCAAAGACATGACCATGACACCCGGGGACAGGGAAACACCAGGCCTGTGCACACATTATTATGCTGCACTGCGTGGCTTCACTGTTTTAAACTACACAGATGGTGTTTGTCCAAGAGAGAGGAACAATATCTTTCTAAAATAAAATTGAAAAAAGAGAAAACTTACTTATCTTTTAGAAATGTTCTTCTTGCAGTTACAATAAATGCTGCTCCAACGATTTAAACAGCTAAACCCACCTGTTTTAAAGCCATAATGTAAACTGTCATGCATACAGCTGAAGGGCCTTTGCACTACATACGACAACACAGCCTTTTTTTTAACAGGGTTTTTTTTAATCAACAAAACCTACAGTGTTGTTTACTATGTTTCAATTACCCAAGGTCAGACACAGAGCTCATCATTTAGGACTTGCGCTGTATCAGCCTTTACAGCTCATAGACTCATTTCTGTAATGCAAAGCAAGCATGTAATTAATGGACCCTCTCAGCCACCCCTCTTTGTTGTTCGACAGACACTCAAGTCAAATGTCTCCACAATGGGGGGAAAGAAAGTCTCCTGGCACGGCAGAAGTGCTGATGTTAGGTATTTCAGCCACGCTGAGAATTCTTTTATTTTACCTTTTAATCTGCATGAAAAGGACGATTCATTTGTTCAAATTAAATGCCTTTTGTTAACATCACTGCAGCGCCTTATTGTTCCTTTCTTCTGTTTAATATAATGCTTATTTTTCATGGTGCTGAACAATAGATTCAAGAACAATAGAGTGACAAAAATTGATTCTTAAATAATAATATAAATCTTGCAGCAGGAAAAGAAATAACTTTCTCTACAAAAAACAGATATGCTTAGTAAATCTACAGCTTTAAAAACAGAAAATAAAATTATAATTCTTTAGTCTTACATCGGCTATTTATTTTTAGTTTTGCAAAACTGTTTAGTCGCTTTGCCACAAATAATTTGCTAAATCCTAATCCTGATCCTCTAAATTTCACCTTGTTACTAACACGGGTGAATAACAGGTGGGTATTACTACAACATTCAGCTGTGGACTGTGAAGCCTCTCAATGTGAAAACATGCTAAGAAATCACAACAAAGACTCACATATGGCCCTCTAAACGCGGCCACAAAATGGAAGCGACGAGCTTAAAGCGGACCGTGAAAGTGAAGGTCGCCTCTCAGCTCTGACTGGAGCTTAGTGTGGCCGGTCAGCATGTTGACCACAGTGCAGCTGTGTGCCTTTCTTCATGTTTACTGTACAACCTCTGTCACGTGATCAGCCTCATTGCTGCCCCAAGCATTTTTGTCTCCTTTTTCTCCTTCCCCTCACTATCCCTTCAGCCCAGCTCCCCACCTCCCTCCTGGCTCTACTGTACAGTGTGTTGATGTCTCTTGTGGCGGCGGTAGGCCTGCATGGCTGAAACTCTAACCCCTGCTAGTTTTCAAATGCCCGGAAGGAAGAGAAAGATGTAGTGGAGTGATGGGGGTGGGGAGACTGTGCATGCTCCATTTGGATGGGAAGAGGGGGGCAAGGGAGGATCGGACCGTGATGGGAACTCAAGGACAATAACAGCTAAGGACAAATGTATCATCCGATACTCATCTCTCATATTCATGAATTTTTTAGTCCACATGATGACCAGATATCGTCAGCCTATGTGTGTTCAGACACCACAGGGTTGTTGCAGTCATACAAATGCGTAACTGGAGCTTCTCCTGATTAGACACACGTTTTGTTCCCTATTTACATAAACTAATCCGTGGCTGTGACCTGAATTGTGTCCGTCCTTCGCTGGAGTCAAAAAACAAAAGTCTGGGAGCACAGTGATGGGGGTGGGGTGCCTCTGGAGAGGATTATTTAGGATATTGGTGCAAAAATCAGCTGGCTGCGTGTAACATCTCACATTAATTTACATACTACGAGCATGTTATTGGCTGACTCGAAGGAAAATCTCATCCGACAAAAAAACAAAAGAGGATGCCATCTGTGCTAAGTGTGGAAATGTCAGGCATGCTGAAATCAGCACCGGAGCTGTTTACAGGCAGGAGTGCTAGCACATCTTTAACTGGAGCGGCTCAGACTGGAGGCATGTTAACTCACCATTCTCACTGAGACGAACCCCAAGGCTGGTCACCGAGTCTGTGATGGAGCGTGCAAAAGTGAACGAGTCGTCCAAGTGGTGATGATGATTCGAGGTGGCCACATTGGACGAAGAGAAATCATCAAGCTTGATCTTCTTCACCAAAAATGAGCGGGGCATGTTTCAATGGATAAAAACACAGCGCTGAGAAAAACACATGAGAGAAAACGAAAGACCCTCTGAGGAAGCACACAAGCAGAGCTGGCTTGACGGTAATCCTTGTGGTTAGTATGAAGACAACGGCCAAAAACATAAGATAAGAAAGAAAATGGAAACCAGTGGAGAACAAGGCTGACGGCAATGCTGTGTGATACTCTCTGGCTCCCCCAGCTTCCCCCAGAAAAATAAAAAAATAAAAAATAAAAGCGATCCTGTTCAGCACTGGATAGCTCCTGTGATGCAGCAGGCTTAAGGGACCAGTGAGGAAGAGAAGAGATGGAGACAGACAGAGAGAGGAGGGAGAGAGAGAGACTGTCAGACTAGCTGAGATCAGCAATCACGCCAGCCTTTATATGGGGCACAGGCAGTGGAAGATCAGGTGGTGCTGCGAAATGGAGCTGCTTAGCTTTAATCCATCAAATGTCCCCGGGGACACACATCAAATTACTACTGAACCGTCTGTGCATTCGCACAGAGACAGAGGAGAAAGAACACAGCCAGACCCCCACTGCCCCCACTGCTGCTCCCCCTCCTCCTCCCCTCCCCTCCCTATTTCACCCCGCTTATGCTCCATGCTCGGAGGAGGAGTAAAAGAGGAGGGCAGACAATGGAGATGTGGATGAGAGCACACTCAGTGTCCTGTCCCCCATTGTTTTCAGATGAAGTGGCACAGTTTATGTTTGTCTTGTACAGGCGCTGCCTCCCTCATGTCATCTCTGTTACCTCAAACAGCCTCAGATCTTTCCGTCCCTTCGACACACTGCACTGTACTCACATGCTGAGAGCACACATACAGTACAGGAGAGGCTACCAGAGCGTCTGGGAGTGCTGGACCTTTTTTTAAAGCTGCACTGGATTCCAGCACTATTGACGAGCCGGCTACAGGGAAGCACTAGTGCTGCACGGCTCAGCTTGTCTCTCTCCCTCCCCATTACCGCTGCACAGATGTGTGTCCTGCCATGCGTGGCAGTGAATTATCTGATTAATTAATTACATCTTTTTTGATTAGGGTGAAATCTAGAATTAGATCCATGCTCACTAAATTGGCCGCATATCTCTGGGTTGGTTTGTGTTTGTGTGAATTTATTCAGATTTTTATGCCACATTATACACCTGATTTTTCATTAGGCTGGAATATTTATGGGAAAATAAAATCTCTTGGTAGATTCTAAAAGCAACCGTGGAAAGGAAACAAAAATGATGCACCTGTTTGATTCACTATCAACAGGAAACACTTGTGTCACTTCACTTGTTTAATTAATTAATACTGTATTGTATTAGCACAACACAATTAACAACTACCGGTATCTCTGTTAAGAAAAGGAAGCGAGTAGTGTCTGTGGCGGCTACTAGGTTTCTGTGTTTTGCTGTTGTGTATCTGAGCAGTGGTGGTGCTTGTCAAGTCATGATAGGAAATATTTTTGAGGCGCCTAGTCGTTTTCTTGCAGTCAGTTTGTTTAACATCTTTATGATCGTTTTGTCAGCAAAATGAAATAAAACGCCAGTTACAGTCCTCAAAATCCAAGGCGATAGCTTCAGATTGCTTGTTTGATGAAAACTTGAAAATGTTTAAATTATGGTCCAATACAACAGAAAAAATAAGTAGATTGTCACATTTTGAGGCTATAATCAGAGAGCATATTTGTGTAATAATTACCTTAAAAACATTTGTCAAATTATATGTGTTAATTTATTGGCAATTAACTTGATTAATCAACATTGTTTAATAAATGTTAACACTATCCCTTTCTATTCTATACACTAAGGCTGTTGGTAGTTTATGTTTTTTACATTTTTTATATAAAGTATTTCTTTTAATTAGTTACATTATTAGAAACCATGTCCTGTCTTAAAAGAACATGTTCCCCATGAAAATGTAAAAACTCACAAGACCACTTGTAGATCATCCTGGAAAAAAAATCAAATGGCTCTTCAACCTTGATACGAAGGCTCGTCTGTTGATTGATTTCATATTGTTTGCATGTTCCATGTTGATACGGCTCCTAAAATTGTGCTCGAATGTGGTTAAAGGTGCTGTAGATTTACTCAGACGTTTCGGCGTGCCCTCTCACCCAGGTCGCTCTAAATCATTCTTGCCACGAACAGTGACCCTGCAGCTTGGACGCGGCGGGTGTCGAGAGGGGACGGTGTTAAATCAGTGCGGTCAGGATTTATCACACATATGTGATTGTACATTACAGGAGAAGTTGGCGTTGCTGTCACCAAGCCAAGCTTAAAGTACAGAGACAAGGACGAGAAAGGTCAGGAGGAGCATCATTGCCCGCAGTGAAGTTTTGTGTTTTTGTGTTGGAATATTATTTTTGATAAACACTCTTCTGTATGAGTCATCTCACAAAGAAATATTTATATCAGTTCCAGCTCTTTAATTATCTAATTGCACCTGTTTTCTTTTTTTTTTTCTGTGTTTGGGTCGTTGTAAAGATCATGATTTGTTGATGAGGACCAAATCTGTATAGCTACTGAGTTATTCTCCAGATTTTATTCCACAGAGCAGAGAGGTTAAATGAACAATGAACCTTCTTTGACTCATCCTGACCTTTTTCCAGCAGCTTCTCAAACCTGCAGTCTGTCTCTTTCTGAACTACAGCTCACCTCTGGCAGAAGCTCTCATTATTCTGCTTTTGGTACAGTGCAGCGGAGCACAGCCGCTTTACCTCTTTAAAGTATAAACATGGCACACTCAAGCTTAGAAATTCAAGGAGCACTGAGGAAGCATTTTGGTATTGATTGTGGAACTGGGCAGAATTCATGTAACACTAATAATTATTTTTATTATCGGTTAATATTGATCTTTCATGTTTTTAACAAAATGTCATAAAATAGTGAAAACATACCCATCATGACTTCAAAGCGACCAAGACGACATCTTCAAGTGTTTTATTGACCACAAGTTCAAAACCAAAACATATTCAGATTTTATGGCATACATGGCAGAGAGAAGCGGCAGGGAAGGCAGAACTCGTTTGATATTTTTGCTTGAAAAAGGGCTTAAGTGAGAAATCAATTATCAAAAAAACAATAGTCGTAGATTATTTTTCTGTTGGTTATTAATTGTTTAAGCTCTAGATGCAGGGTTATTCCTAGTCTGACTCACTTAATGGTAGACTTCTGGTGTAAGCCTGTTATTTCCAGCAGGCAATACAAGCTCAGCTTTCTTCTCTCCCTCCACTACCTGTATTTCATTGTAATTTTTATAATCTCCTTCACTACTGGAAAACAATACGAACCTCCAAGTTAGTACACTACATGCAGGAAATTGAGGGTTGCAGACTCGGATTGTGTAATAAGGCAGGCCTGCCTGGTTCTTTTAGTGAATTAGTCATTTTAATGATAGGGCGCGTCTCCTGCATGCAAACAACAATTCCCCCATCACTATTTTGTAGGGGTACTGTTGCTGCATCCTGGGCTTAGATTGGTAGAAAGGGCTTGATTGGTTTAAAGGGATACAAGCAAGCCAGAGTGTTATTTTCTGTATAGCAGAATGATATTTAGGGGCAGTCAGATCATTCTCTGATGATGAAACAGTCCTGTAGAAATATGTCTTGCTGTGTTTTTTTTATTTTTTTTTAAATAGTAGAAAAATACAGAAAACTGCTCAGATTTCTTTCAAGTACAATAACACACTCATTATCTTGCTCACTGTTGTCAATACTGATACACTCTAAACCAGGTAAAACCCTAAAAGTGGGTAATATGTTAAGAGTTGTATTTAGCTGAATTATAATAAAAACAAAATAAGGATATAGTTTTACATGTTTTCAGGTGTAAAGCAAAGTAGTGGAGCACCACAGAAACACCAAGCTGATGATTTTATGTTAAATTTGGATGCAGCTTCCATATTATAATATACAGTTTACACTGTTCTGATGTGTTAGATTTTCAGTATAACACACCTGCTTCTAGCTGATTGCAATGTGGCATAATGGAGGAAACCACCTGTAACTGGAAAAGATGTCAACCAGCATATTTACAGTAGCATCACATTAATTATTCTGTGCACAGACTGTTCCCTGCATGGCATTGATATAATCTGCTAATTAATTATTGCACATCACGTGTGAATTTTACAGCTGAATTATAGAATGGGTGCAACAAGTCAACTAAAGGATGCATGCTGGGATTGAAACATCGCTGAGGTTACTTGTGTCCAACAGCAGGCAACTTTTTGCAAATTGTCTCCTCCTCCTCCTAACGCAGGAGCTCGGGTCCGCTTATGGCCCCCAGACTCCTAGTGACATGTGGTCACTGCCTCAGGACGTTACCATAGTGACTGCCCCCCTCAGGCTGGAGGAATGGTTTTTACTCTGCTGTACTGGAGCGGGGGTTCTGCTGTGGTCAGATGGAGGGGAGGCTGTGATACGATCAACCTCATTAACATCCTGTATGGCCCTCCAGGGTTGAGGAGATGACCTGACCGGCCAGATGAATGAAGTCCGTCTAGTTGATTTGTTCCTTCACACTGTTCCACAAGAGACACCACTGAATTACCTCATCTACAGGTCAGTTCATTATGTCTATTTACAGACACGTGAACTCTGTTTAATCATTTAGCTTTCAGCTAATTCAGACACCTGACTCACTAAACAGAAAATACGATTTTTCCGTGCATAAAACCTGAGACTTAAATGTCTCATACTAGGCACTCCTTATGTAAAGACACTCTGAATTCATTGGGCTAGGTGAAGAGAAGCTAAGAGTCCATTAAGCGCAGGCATGTATAATTCACCTCGCTCTTGCTTACTAGGTCACTTCAGAGAAGCTTGTTTTAAGCTGCTACGGTTGGAGTCTGTTATACTCTCTAGAAGGACAAGAGCTAATGATGATTAAAAAGTTTAAAATAGAATCAATTTCAAATGCAACAAGTATTCGTGTCATTAGATAATGCTTCCTATTTATTTCTTTATTATTATTTACAGCCACCGCACATGCATTTGGCACAT